ACAAACGTATTACACAAGAAAATTCTCATAAATGGATCCATGCCCTGTGCAATTTGAGCAGACACTTCTATTTTAATGGTTACAGACTGTGGTGTGCACCGTGACAGGTTCTCGAAAGCGTGTTCATCTAGGAATAGTAGCAAAATTGCATAGTTACTGAAATTCACTACACACCCATCTGTGGAACAGTCACTGCAGCTGTGTGCAGCAGACAACACAGACTCTGCTTTTTGAAAAGCTCTTGTTATTTTAGGTGTTATGTAATTGTCACGTTGATAGCCATTCATTTAGCTCAAACAAGAACTGTCCTTTAAAAGTCAGGCTGTTAAGTTAAAGCAACATCTACTCAAAAGGGGAGACAACACCTTTTTAAGTATCACCAACAAATTTTACATGTAGAATATATATATATATATGTATATGTGTATATATACACACACACATACTACAAAGAGGCATTCACTTGAAGCTTTCAGTGTATCTGTGCTAAATTAAAAAAGCAGCACACATTAACTAAAAGCAACAATTTCTCATGTTGAGTAAGTGTAACTCATTGCAAAAAGATACCTTAATCTCAGGTTTTGGGGGCGTTTTTTGTTCCTCACTTTACACTGCACAACCTGTAAATGACAAGTAACAAGGTAAGACTTGGCTTCGGGTATGGATGAGCTGGAGAAGGTCAGTTAGTCAGGCAGGTAGCTGCCCCAGAACAGGCTGGCCCATGGGAGCTGGGCTTACAGCTAAGGCAGGGGCGCGCAGCCAGAGTACCAGGTGCTACCTGATGTGCTTGATTGAGCACACGGGTGACCCTATGGACACTCAAAGCCTGTACCCACCTGCCGGCACCATGAACGACAGAGCTCAGAGGAGGCAAGAGCGCTGCCTTTCTGCGTGTGCTGCACACGTGCTCAACGCCCTCTCCCATGGGGAAGCGTCACAACAGCAAGTGTCCCTTTTTCGGCTGAGCAGTGCACAGCCACATGTCGTATCTTCCTGGGATAACTGCTGCCCCACCACCTGTGCGGCAAGTTCACATGCTGAATAAATTAACTGCTTTAAAACAATACACTCTCACTTCTAAAGTTATGCCCTGACACAACAGCAGCTTTAGATTAAGTGGGGGAAGAAGTTCTTCACCCCTACACCAACCCTATTTATTCATTTCTGTTTATTCAGCTTTGTTATGCTTATAATTTTCTAATCTCTCTTCTTTAAGAACACAATTTTCTGCAACAGTTGTTAGTTACTCCCGTCGATGCTTTCTGTAAGAGTAAGGGATTGTTTTTTCCCCTCATATTAGTCTTCAAGGGGAAAAATCTGCCTGAAGTCTTGCCTGTGGCTTCACACCCACACAGACATTTCAGAGACAGCAACATTTAAACAAATTTACAGCAAACAATAAAACTGCTACGCTGTCAGAACACACGCAATGCTTTTCATCAATTAAAATCTGGGGCACTTCTACCCATTTCAAATCAATCTGACTGAAGCGGCAGCCACAGCCCCCCGCACAGTACAGCTCAGCACACGTTCCTCCCAGTGCGCCTGTCAGAAACACTGAACCGATGCTGGAGGGGTGCTGCTCAACAAAAACCATAAAAGCACGCAAAGTATTTTCACTGCTGCTAATGTTGCACCGGCCTCCTTCGCTAGTTAATAAACCTTGTTCGGGTTCAACGCAGAAATTGTTTTAAGGGAAGGAAAAGCACAAAGCCATAGATCTTCCTCTGCCCCTCTTCATTTGAATATTTCTCTTCACTTTAATGCTACAATTTCTTAAATACTTTTCTTTGACTGCGATGTAGTAAGTATGCATATTTATGTCTCTACACGCGTACCAACAGACTACTTCAATAAATTAATGCTCGAAACACTAAGCACAAGAATATTTACAAACTGAAATAAATTAAAGATCAAAGTGTGTACAATATTTAAGTAAGAGTCTCAGAGACCTCACCACGTAAGAGCATTCGTCAACTTTTGTGCTAAAATTCTGCTGACTTTCGTGCCGCTACCCGAGGCCAGAAACACACGTACAGGCCAGAAAGAACAGGGTGATGAACACCAGGCTGGTGACCCCACACGTACCTCCTGCGGGTCAGGGCGACGGCGCGGGGGCAGACCCAAAGGTTTCACCTTTCGGACTGAAGACCCGGCCTGGCCTGGGGTCACCCCTGTCACCCACACACCCCCCAAAGCCCGGCACCTACTTGCCTGCCAGCGTCTCCTATGGGAACTGGAACAGACACCCACACTCACTGCTCCCTTATTTGTAAGGCGTGCTTTTGGGGTGGGGGAACCCAAACTAACCAAACCCTCAAGTTTTACTAGAACTTACGAAGAGTAATGTTATGGTAGAAAATGCAATTCAAAGCAAAGATGCACTCTGACACAGCAGGCTGGCCACAGATGCAGAATCAAAATGGCCCGTTTCCTCAGCAGTGTACGGAGCAGGGGGTGTTTCCAGGGCTGTCCTCCACAACAGAGCACCTGCCAGGGAACTACAGTTCTAGATCACAAAAAGGAAATGTTATTACGCTGTATGCCCTCACTTTTATCTTTTGCCAAAACAGAAAGCATCAGTGGGAGACTAAATTGTTTTTGAAGAAAAATCCCAAACTGAGTAATTGGGATAACTGCTCTGACCATACCTGCCTTCTTGAGCGTTGAAGTGGTTTATTAAATACAGAGCTCACTTGAGGGGACTGACTGGAAGAGAGAATGGCAGAGCAGGATGGTACCATTTGTGCCAGCAGGAAGTAGGTAAGAGGGGCTGCTCCCCCAGTTACGCAGCCGTCACAGTGACGGCAGAGAAGGTACCACACTGAAAAAGCGTCTTAAGACATAGGAGATGATGTAACAGACGGAGCTTTCCAAGTACAGTCCCCACGGCATCAGTGCTGCTCCTGAATAAATGCACCTACAATTCTCTCAGCTGCAGATCCCAGACCACGATACAAACACCACTTGGTTCCGATCTGCAGGTGCAACGGAAGAGCCTCTGCAAGCTTCACTACACTTAAGTTTATCCAATCACCAATTCAGAAAAGTAACAGGAAGCAGCGTGAGTTAAGGCAGGCAGCCATCCACTAGAAGCATCCCTACTTGAAAAATGTAAATACCTGTCTAAGGGACTTCTCTGTCAGGCTAAAGGATTATCAAATCTCTTGAAACCCTCAAAAGGTTTCTGCTGACCAAAGAACTTCAGGAACTTCCAGCTACCTGCTATTGCTCCACAAATTGCAAGGGGCAAGAAATTTGCAAGTAAGAATTTGAAGAAACCTTTACAACTGGAGTTTACATTTTGTTTCGTTAAAATGAATTGCAGAACTTCAGAGGTACCAGGCCTCTTAGTAGTGTTTTTAAAAAATGATCTCAACTGTACGAACAAAACGTGACGGACCCCAGTAATTCAGTCTTTACCCACGAAGGTATTTCTTTGCAGGCAAGTAACAACCGAGGGCTCACGAGTGTCTCCCACACAGCTTTACGTCCTTTGCCAAGGTACTTCCTTGTCTTCCAGGCGCTCACAGCCCTGGTTCACAGACACTTTACACCAGAATAACTATTTCAACTCTGACTTGAAGGCAACTATAGCAGTAGCAGTCTCTGCACTGGCACACAGGCATCAGCAGTTCTGTACCAGCAGTGCTAACGAAGCTCTAACCTGGGCCTGGTAGAACAGCACAATTCCTGCATTTAGGCTACACCTCCGTTCCTGGCACCCCCCCCCTCATGCTGAAACTATTTATTTGCTATTCTCTATTGGGCAGATGATCAGCAGCTACCTGCAAAATTAGAAGGTGCTAAAACAGACAATTCCTCTTATAATCTAGTTTTCCAAAGGAATCAATAAAACACACTGGTACAGAAACTCGCCACCTGAAAAACAGCTCAGATGAGTAATTTAACTGCATCCTGAAGATACTTGAGCTTACAAAAATACCCTCACGCTATCTACTCTGAACGTACCACTCAACTGAGTCAGTAGTAGACTCCTTAATAAAGGAACTGGTAAGTTTCACAAGGCTTTTGACAGAGCACAGTGAGGAGACAAGAACTAAAAGCGGTAAAGGACAAGTCCAGTGAGACCAATTTTGGCCAAACACTTAGCAATGGATTTTTAGAATTCTCATGATACAAACAGTGTAAGTTGGAAAGCCTACTGAACTGAGAGAACACCTATGTGAACCAGAACTACACAGCTTATTTGTTTCTGCAGATGAAGGTGGTCTTTTTTCTTACTATTTTTACTGAAGCGAATGTAGTGATCAAGCTGCACGCGACCCTGCTGAAGTCAAAAACAAGCGCAGAAAAATGTTTGTTCCCTAATGTTCCCTTGACATTATATAGTATCTATCTCCTTCATTTATCTTGCCTGTTCAAGTCTTTTCTCATGCTACTAAAATAATCAAGATAGGACAGACCTCCAAACCCACACAGCATTTTAAAAGCCAGTTTCCCAAGACGTTTAAGAGGTAACTGTAAGATTGAACTTGGGTCGATGACTTCTCAGGACACACGCAGCCCTGAAGTTTACAATGCAACTGTAAAAGACATACAATACTCTCTTCTATTTCCTAAACCTTAGATTATTTTCTATTGCATCTTCCCCCACTTCCTGGCAAGATCTCCCCCATAATTTGGTTACTTGGAGGAATTTAACTTTTGGCAATGAGGGAGACAAGATTCTATTTATTTGTTTTATTGACTTATTCAGAAGGTTCTGATTGAGCCTGGTGTCTTCATCAGGCAACAGATACTGGAACGCGGAGAATCTTCTGCCTTCTTGAGAGGAACTCACATGAACAAACTCTTTGACATGTCTCTCCTCTCACAATCACCGAGTTTGTTTTTTTAATGTGTGTATTTAATCTAGTAAAACAAATGTCACTGATGTGTATGGAACATAAAACACTTGGAGAGGCAGGTACTTTACAGGAATTGGTTATTTCTTTTGAGAGCTGACTTCTAAACATTGTGCTAACCTCTTAACAACCCCAGTGCATTTATGTCAGCAATTACTTTTCACATCAAATGTAAAGAGACTCAAAATATTAATTTTCCAATAAGCATACAAAAATAGTTTTACTCTCTTAACCAGTTTATGAAGTTCTTTTTGCTGCTTTCCTGTCGCCATCCATCTAACTAAAATAAGTTAGTACAATCATTTGTATGGGCTGTCTGCACACCGGACACGGTTTGTTCCTCTTCTTAAGTTTTCTTGCACATGTGAAACATGACATGAGGTGTCCCGTTTTGCCATGTACTATGCAGCCGTTTTTAGGTCTGCTCTGACATATGACACAGGGCTCTATGCTGGTAATGGGTAGACCAGATTCCATGCTTTCCTCTTTTTCTTGTATTTCTCTCTTCTCGGGTTCCTTATAGTCCTCCTGACTGCTACAAAACATGCTGCTTGATGTTGATGGCTGGGAATAATCTTCACTTTCCTGGGACTCAGAAATTTGTACTGCTTTATCCTCATTCTCCTCCACAGCTGGTTCTTTATCTTCAGTCATTTTCACTTTCTTGCAGTCAGGAACATCAAAACCTTCTTCAGACTCCAGAGGGAAGGAACTTTCTAATTTGTTCTTTTCCAATTTGTCACTCTTTTCATCTGGAAGCCAGTCCTCACGAAGGGCCCAGCATCTGTGGCAATGTCGTGGAAGCGGAGGATTCATTTCGCTACATTCAGGACACTTCCAATAATCCTTTAGTGAATTAAAGGTTGGAACAGCTTAAGCTACTTGGAATGCTTGCAACTAAAGTATTCAGAGATTATAAACAATTCATTACTGCCAAAATAATAGCTGCCTTGAGCTATTAGCTTGTTTACAATTTAACAATTCCATTCAGTTTGTCCCCATTTTATAGTTCTAGATTAAAATAGTCTTGATTTTAAAAGGACTCGCTGATTTTTCTTTCTTTTTGCAGTAGAGGTAGAACAACAATGATCTATTATTTCTTATGCAAAACTGAAGAAACCAGACCACAAAAGTCTTCAGAGAACCTCATGGGAAACTTATTTCTGATAAAACAGTCACCATGCCCATTATTTTCAACAACAGACTTCTGAAACTACTCAAGACTGAAGGGACATCTAACCTGTGGGATGCTAGGCTGTTGGTGTGCAAAACGGCCGGGTGAGGGCACTCTGACACAGCAGTATTGCAGAGCAAAAAACAGCCATGGGGGGCCGGGGGGAGGAAAATAATCAAAACACATCCAAAAAAGTGGGCTGCCATCACTGTTTCAGAGGTTACTCTGTACACTACGCTGACCATAAGCCACTATCTCATTAAAAATACACCTGATTTTTAAGTAGAAAGACCCTTCTTAGAAATAATGCATGCCACAGGGGGGATGAAAACAAAACAAAACTTATTTAAAGATTCAAAACTTTTTGTTTGTCTCCTCAATAACATCAGTGACATCAAAAGCTTAAAAGGCCAACTTTAGTTCCTAAAAATAACGTACAGACTTATTATTCCATACATAAGCAGTGCTATGTTTTTACATGGTGCCCAGCCCTGTGTTTTGCGCACATAGGGAAGCCCCTCAAGTCCTACACACCATCGGGGGACTGGAACACTTCAGTTTTGGACAACAGCTTTATTCAAGCTTCAACTGTGAAAAGCAAATATAAATAAAAAGATACACTGTGTTTTAATTCTAGTGTGTGCTTTTTTCATGTGTCTACATACTCCGCCTTAGCCCCCTGGATTTCTTCCCACAAGAATGGTCTCTCAGAATTTAGAAAAGGCCTCAGAATCTTTTAATTTCACAGTACTGAGAACAGGTTTGCCTTCACATCTGTATGTTACAGATTCCTGCATTCAGGTTGGACAATGAAACTAGGTATTATGATTTATAGGAAGAGTTTTTTAAATATACATGACTAAGATTTTTTTTTTCATTTTGTGCAAAGAGTCAGATTTCAGCTCCAAATAATTTCATTCCATTAAGTCAGTGAAACCGTAAATTAGCATGGGGATTTTTTAATGGATTAGGAAGTATACTTTTTTTTCTTTTTTAAAATCAAGGTTTCTTAATAATCACATCTTCAGCAATTAAAATATTGCCTTGGAATCTTCAAGCACACAAGAAAAAGTTAATTTAATTCTAAAAAAAAATCACTGGTAGCAACAGAATTAATCTATACTCCTCAATCTACTCTGTTAGTTCACCCACTGTAAAATGCTTTGCCAGTTACGCTTTTACTCACAGCTAGAGAAATCTCTGGATCTTCATCAAATGAATCAGCATCACTGTCTTCATCCTGGTAAATAGTCAGCTGATATACCTGGTTTAAATAATAATAATAAAAAATTAGTATTGATGTAACTGTGCTTTGGCATTCAACTGCCTTGCACAAGTCCAGGTAGATGACATCAGTTGCTCTTCCTTTATCCACCAATGTTGTAACCCCATCATAAAAGGCCACCAGATTGGTCAGGCATGATTTGCCCTTGGTGAAGCCATGTTGGTTGTCACCAATCACCTTCTCGTTTTCTGTGACCTCCAGAGGCCCCTTCCAAACTCAACCATTCCGCAATTCTCAACACTGCTGTTGGAAGCACACCTCAATCCTGCCTTCCTCCAAATCACCATGTTCTCTCAGGGTGCAGCTCTGCAGCACTGTAACCCCCAGTGTACATCGTGTACGTCAGCACAGTCAGTCCCATTCAGCCTCTTGAGTGTCACAATCCTGCGTCCCTGGTGAATTCCGTCTTTGGTACTTACCCAATCTTGACATGAGCTGATTCACCTCTTTGAAGTGACAGAAAACTGACCCAGGAAAAAAGTAACTTCCCACTTCACTCCTGACATTTCAGATATCTAGATCTCTTGAAAATTATGGTAATCACAATTTTACCGTCTTCTTGCCTCCTAATGAAAACTTCTAAAATTGGGTTTCAGCATCTCTATGAAACATTTACATTCATGGAGGCAAATGATTCAAAATATTCCTTTGCAAAGAGTTACTAGGGAACTTTTCATTCAGTATCAAAAGCACTGTCAAAGCTCAACACACACTTCTATAATTAAAAATTTAGAAATAGGCTCAAGTACACGTGCTGCCATTGGCTGCAACAGCTAGGGAGTGAAGTTAAACAGACAGCCTTTTCCAGACTGTCAGGAGTCTGTTTCAGAGCCTGCAGAAAGCTCTAGCACGGCTACTGCCTGGCAGGTGCACAATGCTGACCCATCTGCACAGGCGTGTAATTTGATTTAATGAATGACTGGGTGCAGTTTGTAACACAGCACATGCAGCCCTGGAATAAACCTGAGAGTTACTGCTTCTCGTTGGAATCTCAACATGAAGTATTCCTGTAAGTTTCCTTCCCTCTTTCACCACCCCCAGTCAAAAAAGCCCCAAACATAACAAGTATGTCTGTACCTCATCATCTTCATCTGTGAGCTCCTGTCCTTCTTCATTATGGCTATAATCTTCTGAATAAATAGACTCCACTTCAAACTCTACACTGAACTGGTCTGAAACAGAACCGTGGTCAAACCAGTCAGAGTTTTCGCTTAATGAACTGGCATCAAGATCCTGAAAAAGAGAGAAAGTACACACTCAACCTCACCAGTCCGTATCCATGACCATTACTGTTAAGACAGCTCAGAAGATAAAACTGAACTACTCAGTTTAATTAGCTATGGAAGAAATGAGATCAGCTACTGTTATACAGAACATCTTTTATGAGACAAACAAATTATTGATAGGTAAAAACAAAGCTAGATCTGAAAGCCTTTTGTCAGCTCTGGAGGTTGAGCCTTCAACCTACAGCCAGCTTGAAGACTGCAGCTACTACTTCACAAAGGCTCTCCTAAAAAGTGAAATAACAGATGCAAGAAAGTAATGTCTTCTGGCTGCATGTCATTAAATTCTCTTATTCTCATCAACTTCGTTAACCTTAATTTGAGACAGTGGCTAAACAATTATAAAATGGCAAGAGTGAAGACACTATATTAGTTCTGTCAATTCAGAGCACAGTATATGACTAGGGAGACTGTTAGTTTAGATATTCGTGACTTAACCACAGATAATTTAATTCAATGTTTGCTGAAGACAACAGACAACAAAAAAGAAAACAGGCCTGGAAAATGAATACAGCGTTATCATCAGAGTGCTGCCATATACATTTACCGAAGTTGTACCGGAACTACCAACTATTCTGAATCATGGAACATCTGTGACTTCTTTTCTTCTCTTAGCATTCTAAGAAATACTTATTTTAAAACATACCGAAAAAATATATCTGGCATTTTTTCAATACTGTGCCAAGCAGTAATAATCTGTTTTTTAAAGAATATTCAAAGTTAGTATTTCAAATATTTCACTTCAGCTTTTGTCAGCAGATCTATGAAAGACCCCACTCCACCCACACACCAATTTTTCTTTCGGCCTCTCTTCTTTCCTCAGACACCACTAGAAGGCACTGCTGCTTTTAATTAAGAACATGATGCTTTAATATGCATATTTGCACTTGTGGTATCTGCAAAATTTGTACCAATATATAATTTGACTTACAGGAATGGAAAGAGAATCTGTTGAATCACTGCTATTGCTTCTTTCACGGCACAGACCACTGACTACACACCATGAGAGACTTTCATCAAACGTCAATGAAATGCTGTCTGATTTGTGTCGTTTTCTTCTGTCACTGTGCAGATCATCTGAAGAATTTTCTTCTGGGCACATTCAAGAATTTTTATTAGTCCAAAAACATCTGTGCAATGTGCAATTTTGAATATTCTTAACAAAAGGTTAAAACATAATTTACTTATATAGGAATTTAAGAAAAACAAAGTCATTCAGTATTATTTTATGAGGTAAAAAGTAAAGACTCCGAAAACTTCTTATTTAAATAAGACACAGTAACACTGAGAAACATGAAAAGTGTGGAAAAACTCCTGAAAACAGTACTGCAGGGACTGGCTTTCCCCATCTGTCCCATCAGTACAGCTTGTAAATGGCAGTGTCAATGTGCAGGAAATAAAATAATTGCAAATTTGGAAGCATTTTTACTCCACTTCACACGTGACACGGTAAACCCCTCCTAGTTTTAAAAAACAGTTAGGATCTTAATCGTCCTAGCTCCCTCTGCAGTCAGTAGACAGAAGGGCACTTTCAGAGAGCTTCTGAGTCTACCCCAGAATTTGCAGGGAGAGCAACTAGCTCCCAAGTCACGTGCATACAAAGGATTTCATGCTAAGCAAGATAATTTCAGGTTCAACTTTCAGACACCTCAATACATTTATCAGTTAATAGTTGCACTATATGTAATTGTATTTACTCAACAGGATTTTTGTAACAAACAGTTGACTTCCACCACACACTAGCAAGAAAAAAGATCTTCAAGGCATACTATCTGAAAATTGAACTCTGAAAGCACTGCTTTAAGCTGTGCTTAACTCAATAGGCTTGGTTTGAAGGCAAAAAGATAATGCTTTTTAAATACATTATGTTTTGAAACAAGCACCTACAGCAGCATAAGGAACACAGGGACAGCATTTTAGGGGTAGGTAAGTCAAAATTCAGCTCCACTGACGTTTAGAGTGTTTGGAAAGAAACAACTCGATTTAAAAAGGCATTGCAAAATCAGTGTGTAAGTGCAGCAGAGTGAAAACTCCCCAAAAGGCCTGACAACTCGGTTCAACAGACCTCGGTAAGAGCCTGCTGCCCCTCTACAGGTGCCTTTTGCACCCATCCTCTATTGTCCAGCTTCTCCCCTGCCTTGCAAATCACACCCTGACATTCCAGGAGTCTTCAAGGCTTGCATCTTTCATTGTAAAAGAAAAGAGAACAAAACACTTGTACATACTTTGAGACTTCTCTTACTTTCCCTTGGTGCTTCTTGGCTCAGCCCCTCTCTTTTTTTCCGCCCTGAGAGCCCCACCAAATTTGGTGCCCACAGGCCCAAGGGTTGCTCCTGTCCATCGTTGTCCTCATTTAGTGGTCATGGCTCCATGCTGTACTGATACTGTATCACCACAAGGTTTCTATACACTATATAAGCGGCTCCAAAGGAGCCGCTACCATCCCAATTTAACAAGAATAGTTGTTTAAAAGGAAGATTTCCTATAAATTAGAAAAAAAGTGTATATAAAAACACTATATTAAAAGAACTTTTAAGGTTGTAACAAACTAATAAATGGATGCAAAGACAAGAGTTAATAATCAAACCTACAATAAGTAAGCACAACACAGGACCTGAGGTGTTCTGGGTCATGCCTAAATATTACAGGTTGTGACGCTTAACCGAGACTTTCCATCCTTTCACCAGTTTTTGTTACAACATTAAAATGTTCTTTTAATTTAGTGCAAACCGCTCAGCAATGCAGCACAGTTTTTGGACTGACTAACGCAACAGTAGTCTACGATGAACACAAAAAAATACTACACAAAAGCTGAGGAATTGAAAAACGTTCCCAAGCAACTGAAGAAAAGGAAGTTCTATGCAGTGACAGAAGGTTATCATTGCCCAGGTAATTACAACCACCAAGTCGTGAGGCAACAGAACGTGATGGAACAAACTAATGTAAGAAATTCCACAGAATAGTATTTAAATAGAACTGTAAGAACACTTCCTTTGAGAAATGTAAAGTTACTCAGGTTTACACTGACCAGCTTGTTATTTGCCAATTACTGGAAGAAACATTCCACCTTTTGAAAATGTATTTGCCACCAATTATTGAATAACCACAGTAAAGAGGAGACAAATACAGTGCTTAAGTCACCAGACTAAGTGTGCTTAAGGAATGGTCAGGTAGCTAAATACATCCAAAATCATCCCATGTTACTACCAGACCTTTGACATAGAATCATAGAATGGTTTGGGTTGAAAGGGATCTTAAAGATCATCTAGTTCCAACCTCCCTGCCATGACATCTTTGCCACCACTTGAAATCCAATGAAAAACAGTTTTAGAGAGCAAAACAAATGTAAAATTTTGTGGGTGTCTACAGAGGGAACTTAAATGAATTTGACTACATCAGCCTATTACAAACAGAAGTGTACTCATAATTGTATCACACATCATCATCATGTGCAGTAACACAACTGATTAAGTTCTGCTGATGTGAACAAGTCTAACAGATCTGTGGAACAAGTTATTCCATCATCTATCTTACTAACAGTTCTAGAGATCCAAACTGTAACATGACACTGAAGCAATGAAAAGAACTGTGTATTTCTTCCAGACTGAACATTTTGTTACAGATAAGCAGAGAAGCATGAATAGTATTTGTCAGCATCTTTCAAAGTCACTAAGGCACCAGAATGTACTCTTTTTTCCTAAGTGGCCATGCTACTGAAAGCTCTGCATCATAAATCTGCACATACCAGATTCACTGTGTGTTCTCCTCCTAGAAGATGTAGTTGGTCGGGAAGTCATGTTTGATGAAGTCTGCTTCTCCTCTAATTCTTGCATAGATTCCTGGTTAACACAAATACTGAGTAAGCCTCAGCATGGATGTGAAGTAAAAAGCTGCAATAAACTAATTGCATCTAAACCACTGACACCATCATGCAAAACTAAATAGAACCTACTTCGCAGAACAGTTATTGGGGGGGGGGGGGGGGAGAAATCACCTTTAGAACATTTTCTTCTTCAAGCTGAAATGTGGCATCATCCTCAGGTGGGTCAGCAAGCGTAGAGTCTGAAACCAAAACAAAAAAACTGTAATACAGCACAGCAGAAGAGGTCAATTTCAGGCTCAAAAACATGAGAGTAAAAGGCAAGTTAACTGCACATAGCATTTACAAAGTAAATTCTGAACAGAACTTTCAATCCAGACATTTTGGAACAATGGAAAAAACCCCATTCCGTTGCTTTTCAGGTGTGTGCAGCACTTTTGCTAGAACGTTACTGAAGTGGGAAGGTGGGGAGGAAGAAGAAATCTCAACCACAGAGTAGCTCAGAATTGTATTAAAAATGCCTTCAGGTGAAGGCTGTGCATTAGCTGGGATTCTGCAGATATGAAAGAATATAGGCAGGAAATATTCTACACTTCTTGCTCTCCAAAGTATATTTTACTAGCCATCATCTTATGAGAATACTGAATTAAAAAGACATTAAACAGAAGAAAAATTAACTGGTGTTAATTATATATACTTACTACCAGACAGACCCCAAATTAATAAATTATCTTTCAAGAAAAGAATTTGAGAGGTAATTTAAGTTTGCAAGCGTAACAATCAGGGATAATAAAGAGAGCACGCTTCCCATCTTCAGCAGCTGAACACTCCCCTTTAGCAAGAATCAGAAACAAAAGGTGTCTCAATATGGAATTAGAAGCCAATTTACAAAATGGTTTCGCTTCCATTATTTAACCTGTGGTTCACTCCTTGTATTAGCCAAAAATTACAGTGATATTTGGCATACTGGAGGAAAGACGACAGTACATAACAATTCTCCATTTCTGGAGTGGCTATCCACCAAGTTACCATAAAGCTACTCTTTTAAGCATACAAACCTTTCAAAAGAGGACTCAGTGTAGCTGAGGGTGACCAGTTATAAATGTACTCTACATTCTGTTTTGAAAACTAAACCAGAATACTAACAAAAAGAATAAAAGGCATTTGTCCTGACTTAATTGCTGGCAGAAGTTCAGGAAGCTTATTTTTTATATTAAAACTTTTTATGTTGTTGTGGGCTTTACTGCTAAGAAACACAAACAAATTACTTATTTTTCAATTTAGTCCTCTCTTGTGTTCAAGTCTGATTGTGCTTGTTCTGGTTCTAGTCCGACAAAATTATCCAAATGCTGTTCAGATTTTTATTTTTTTTCCTCCCTCAGAAGAAACAGTGTTTGCTTTGTTTCATTATTAGTGATGGCTCTGGACAGGGGTGTGTAAAGCCAAATAGCTTATTATGTTATCTGATCACTATAGGCAAGATGCATTAGTGTGAATTTTATTTTCCCTACTATGATTTCCCAAAACAAAAGGTCTTCTCAAACTAGCTTACCTTGTTGATTGATTGCTATCAGATTTCTGGAAATCATTGAATATACTCTCCTTAGATGGGGATAAAGAAAGAGATGTTGCAAGTTAGCTACATGTAATTATAAAAGAGAGCTTACCATATTTGAAGATGTAAGGAGTAAAAAAAGGCCATATGCATTACGTTCTCCATTATTTCACAACCAGACTCTCAGAACAGAATCCCATTTTACCTGTGTTCTTTTACTGAAAAGCTTGTTACTCCAAATAAATCCCCCAGGAGATCATTTGCACAGTGTACAATATGTTGCTGTTTTTCATCATACAATTGTTTAGACATAATATATTGTCCAAGATAGAATATTACCTGTAAATAAATGACATACATAGACATTAAATACACAGGTTCTGTTGTTTCAAGTTTAAATGTAAAAGAAAACACATTCAATTCATTGATATTTGCTCTTCTCACTTTGTTGGCCTAAAACTCCCCTTGATTTTCCTTTCTTTCCCCAAGTACTCTGCTATTTTACCAACTTCAGATTTTGAGAAACCTGCTAAACACCACCTGTCTCAATATCTTCGAGATAAGCTGTGAAATACACTGCCTGCCCCCCTCCATTCACCCAAAACAAAAGAACGGATCTATCTGTATTCACTGTAATTCACTTTTAGTGATTAAAAGTTCTCACCTCCTTCATAGTAAAAGTGTCCTTTTCTGCACCAGCTAACTTTAACAACTTCAACAATAGTGGCTTTGGCTTAACCTATGTGGAGAAGAAAAAACAGTACTCACCAATTATTCAACAAACAAAACACTGTTTCTACAGGTTGGCTTCCTCCTTCTGCATTAATGTGATATATAAACACACAACTAGATTAAAACCTATCCATGTCCAAGTTCTTTACTTTGCAAAGTTAAACCTAAAACAACACAATCCCAATCACACTAAACTTCTCATACACTGCACACCTTAGCTCAACCCCAGTCTTTCACCGGTACATACTGATTCCTCGATTCCAGCTACAGGGTTCATTCGGTAGTTCCAAGCACAGGGCCGGGTCCTGGGAAATTCAGCTCCACTCCTTGCCATTACAGTGACTCCCAAATGGGAGGGAGGAAGGCAAATGGACCTTTGTGACCATCTGTCAGGTCCAAAGTGCAAGTCACAAAGCAGAACACTGGTCCTCCCCCTTCCTAGTCTCTCCCCACCAGTTTCTGTGGCTGCAGCGTTGCATTTGCCAGCTGGGCTGCTTACCTCTGAAGACTGTTCTCAGCTGTGATAAGCACACCCTGTTCTTCCCATCACTCATACCTCCGCAGTGGTCCTCCCACCCACCCACTGTGCCAGCAGGGTTATATCTGCAGCCAGTCTGAGAATTGCTGAGGTCGACGAGGGAAAAGTAAAAAGAATCGCCTTCCTCTCCCCCCTCCCCCTTCTGGCCAGAGCAGCGTCCTGTCCCCATTCACCGCACTGTTCCGCACACAGCCGTGTCAGTACCGGTGCAGTGGATGAGAACAGGCTGCAGGGGCTGCCACAACTGCAAAGAAAATGCCTCTGTAGCCACTGATGGTTCCCGGGGTGCAGTATGTTCTAGTATTGCCACTTTAACAATAGCATAAATATTTTAAAAACAGGCTAATATTTAGCTAAAATAATAAGAATATAGAAAAGAAACATTTTATAGGAAAGTGTTAATAAAATATCAGGAGAAAAGGAATAAATTATTAAGGGGGGGGGGGAACCTCTCTTTATTCCCTTTCAAATATATGCTAAAACCAACGTTAAGTTTTAGCGCATAACAAGAATCACACACAATGAAAACAAACCAACCTGTGGACAATGTTAGATGTCTATTCACCCCTTCCTAAGTGCTGAGTTATTTAGAGCATGCTGCATATATTACAGTTTCATAAAGGAAGCAAACAGTTAACTTATTAAACTACTAATGGTAGTTGAGCACGGGGAGGTGAAACACAGTTTCAGATCTGTGAATCCAGAACTAGACCCTATGAGTTCAGATCCTTCTACTCCCCAGCCCTCTCTGACTCCTGCAAGTATGAAGTTCTTCTGCCATACAGCAGACAGTAGCATCACATTAGGACTTGAAACAAACAACCAAAAAATCAACTTTGAACAGTCTGCTGTTCTGTCACTTCGGGTTTTTTTGAAGTTCTGCTATTAGTCTATAATTTAAAGTTTTACCCTTCCACAAAACTAATCCAGTTCAACCGTCGTTGTACACACACAGTTTTTAACTTGCACCTCAGGTACAATACAGGCTTCCATCCTCAGGAAAACCTATGTAGAAAGCCAGGACAGCATACCTGTCGCTGTATCCTGGAAATCCTGGATACTCAAAGCCATAAACACAAAGACTCTTATTACAGCTTGCTTACGAATTCCAACGGAAAAGAAAGTGAAAATGCCAAATTAAAAACCTTCAGTTGTAATGACAAGATTATTTCACGGTGTAGGTTCTGCACAACGGAGATCTTCCACAACTTTTCAGTTATGAACAGTTAACAACTGCTACCACAAAATGCTTACCATGATCAAATCGGAACACAAGATCCAGGTCTCCAGGAAACAAGAGTCTAGACCTAAACTATCACCCTGTATTCTCAACCAGGAACGAGAAAGATTTGCTTCACAATTACATTATCAAACAGAGACCATCTTCACCGGATTTCCTGGCTTTTCTCCCTGAGCAAAGCAGCCCTTCTGAACTAGCAGATAAAAACTCTGCAAACAGCACGAATAACTCGCGCATCCGACAGAGCTACTGACCAGCGCCTCTTGCTCCGAAGCGGTGACAGAAGACGCATCCGTAAGGGAGGACATCTTGGTATTGCACATTTGCCTGCAATTAAGGGGAGAACCACCTCAAAACGTGGAACACAGCAACGCAACCCCAGGTCCCCCCCCC